GCCACGACCGCTATTTAGAACACTGAAAAAAAGTACTGAAAATTTTAAATAAATATATATATATATATATATATATATATATATATATATATATATATATATATATATATATATATATATATATGTATATATATATCTTTTAACGGAAAAATATAGTTAAATTAAAACATATTATGTTATTAAATAAGGAGTCCTAGACTTAAAACTAAAAGTATAGGCACGGCAATGCGCAACACCCTAGGGTGGATACAATGGTTGAAAATATTTCCATAAAGGCGAATGCCAAAAAGGTCCATCACATAGGACTTAAATGCATTTTGGTCCACAAAAAAACAGTCTCTCAATTAAACCCACCCCATGTTTTTAGTCTAAAATACCCTTCATAATATAATTCTTATCAATTCCACCCATTATGCTCTAACTTTCTTAATATTACACATTGACCCCGGATTTAAACAAATATATCACATTAACCCCCAATTTTTTTTTATTTTTTTAGAAAATAATTTTTTTTCTGAAATGTTTTTTTTTTCCGGCCAGATTCCGGCGTTGACCGACGGAGACCGCCGGTCTCCGACGTTGATTTTTTTTTTTTTTTTTTTGAAAACTTTTTTTTTTCCTGAAATTTTTTTTCGGCCGGTTAACCACCGTTGACCGCCGGTCTCTGGCGTTGACATTTTTTTTTTGAATTTTTTTTTTCTTAGAAAAAAATATTTTAATTAATATTAATATCTTGACTACTAAATTACTGTCTCATACAGTAATATTACTGTTTGGGACAGTAATATTATGAATATTATTTTCGCGAACAGTAATATTATAAATATTATTGTCTAAGACAGTTAAATTACTGTTGGATACAGTAATTTAGCAGCCAAGGCAGTAATATTAATTAAAATAATTTTTTTTAAGAAAAGAAAAAAAGCCAATTAACAATTAAATTACTGTCTCCGACAGTTAAATAACTGCTGGAGACAGTAATTTAGCAACGAAGACAGTAATATTAATTAAAAATATTTTTTTAAGAATAAAAAAAGTCAATTAACAGTTAAATTACTCTTTCCGAAAGTTAAATAACTGCTGGAGACAGTAATTTAGCAACGAATACAGTAATATTAATTAAAAATTAAAAAAAAATCAATTAACAGTTAAATTACTGTCTCCGATAGTTAAATAACTGCTGGAGACAGTAATTTAGTAGCAAAGACAATAATATTAATTAAAATATTTTTGAAGGAAAAAAAAAGTCAATTTACAGTTAAATTACTGTCTCCGACAGTTAAATAACTGTCGGAGACAGTAATTTAGCAGCCATGACAGTAATATTAATTAAAATATTTTTTTTAAGAAAAAAAAAGTCAACGCCGGAGACCGCGGTCAACGGTAGTTTATCGACCGGAAAAAAAATTCTGGGAAAAAAAGTTTTTCAAAAAAAAAATAATAATAAAAAATAAAGTCAACGCCGGAGACTGGCGGTCTCCGGCGGTCAACGCCGGTCAACGGCGGCGACCGGCGGTCTCCGGTGGTGGCGGGTCAAAATTGGGGTCAAAATTGAAATTAGGGTTAAAATTGGTTAATTGATGAAATTGAGCTAAATTGGGGTGTAAATCATGAAATTGGAGTTGAATTGAGTTTCAATGAATTGGGGGTAATTTTGGTATATATAAAGGGATTTTCCTTATTTGCAAATAAGTTTGAATGGGCTGGATTTATTTAAACGACAAAAAAATTGGATGTGCCTCTTTTAATTAGGTGCCTTTATCATGGGCCTATTTACCATTTACCCTTTCTATAATTACCTTATGGGATGAATTGCGAGGGGAGAAGTCCCACACGCGCGGTTGTGGGAATTGGAATCCAAACAGAACTCTAACAATGTGACGGATTCCTTATTTACAGCACTTTCTATACAATAAAATTTTACTTTTTTTTTCTTTTTCTAATTAAATAAATCCTCGAAACCTATGCTGTGATGAGCCAGCTGGCAAGACCATCTGATGAGGTATACATCGGCATGCCCTCGGCGGCAACCACCAGAAGTGCCGCCTACACCGCCATTATACAGCCGCCTTCTGAACAGCCGACGTGCCAGTCGTGTATTTGGACCATAATATTCGCCTCGGTTTTGATTTTGACGGTACTTTATTATTTCACCGACATCGACTATCCAAGTTTCAAAGTGGAATCGGTTTCGGTTTCTTTAGACAGCACCAGTTCCGCAGATTCCCAGGTCGTGACAGCCGCAGTGTGGGAATTAGGGTTTTCTATCAACGACATACATAGCATGATGTACTACGATAACTACGAGATTAGACAGCACTACGTTTTCGTCAAGTGCATGTCACCGAATTGGGCAGGAACGGTTTTTAAAGCCGGGAAATATCCGAAAACTTCTCCAGCCCCTGTTTTATTTAACGCAACCGTAAATACGTTATTGCCTCACTACACTAGTCTCCCTCGATTGAGTCAAGGACTAATAACGTTGGAATTCGAGGTGATGTTACATATTATATACGACCATCGAAATAGGTTAGAAATTACGTGCAAGAATATGACGGTTGCTTTTCTGCCGAATGTAACAAAAGGGATTATGACGGGAGGACCAAGGTTATGTCACGTGGATGGCTCCTTTTAATATGTATGTATCGATCGGTTCACATTCGTTATGAGTCGTTTTCTTAATATTTATTAGTTAATTAATGCTAATAATTAGTAGCACTCTTTCATCACAATTTTTTTTTCATTAATATATAGAGAATATGTTTTGATATACCCTTTTCTTGTTTTATTCCATTATTATTAAGCTTATATATTGATTCTATGAATTGAATCCTTCACTTCCAATTGAATTAAGTTTGAACTCTTAGAAAAGTGAAAAGTTAAAAGGAACTTTTTGACCAGCTAAATAGTTGCCCGACTTTTTTTGCCTTAGATGTTGTTTGGTTAAGCTGGAAAACTCTTGAAAATAGCTTATAACGTACATTCGACCACTCATGGTCGATTGTGTGGCTGACTTGTGCCAACCATCGCTTGGCACCGTTTCTTGGTCACGACTCGGCCACGCTCGAGTATAGCCGATGTCACCGATTAAGGGGCTAACACCTACCCATTGCACACTATATTTTGCCTTTTGCCTTTTTTTTTTCATTTATTTATTTATTTAAAAAATAATTATTATCTTTTTTAGAAACAAAAAAAATTGAACTTTTTTCTTGAAATCAACTAGAAAATATCCGGAATCAACTATAATATTTCCGAAATCAATTAAAAAAAATTCAAGATAAACTTTTGTTTTGTTCGTTTTCCCCCAACATCAACTATATATAATGAAATTGTAAAACAACTACAGGAAACAGTTGTTTAACAGATTACTAAAAAAAATAGCTCTAATTCCTCCAAATCTACTATAAATCGAGGGTACAACTGCAAAATTACAATCTTCTTCCATTCACACTACAAGAAAATGTAAAATAGGCAACAATTTCTTTGTGGACGAAATTAATTTCGTTGCCAATAATTATATTTTAGCAACTTAATATAGTATTTGTGGCTAAAGAATAACCTTTTTGTAACAATAAATTTTTGTTGCCTTTGAATCTCATAGGTAACAAAAACTATTGTTTTGAATAGTATCATATATATTTCGCAACGAATTTAATGTAAGACAACAACTTCATTTGTTGCAAAATAGTGTTTCTTTTTGCTACGATATAAAATTGTAGTAAATACATATACAAAGACAACAAATTTATTTTGTTGCCAGTAAGTAATAAAAGACAACCAAATATTTTGTTGTAAATACTCCAAGTGATTTGGCAACAAATAATCGTTGCCAATTTACAAACCAACTATTTTTTCTTGATTTTAATTTATTATATAATTATTATTATTATTATTATTATTATTATTATTATTATTATTATTATTATTATTATTATTATTATTATTATTATTATTATTATTATTATTATTATTATTATTATTATTATTATTATTATTATTATTATTATTATTATTATTATTATTATTATTATTATTATTATTATTATTATTATTATTATTATTATTATTATTATTATTATTATTATTATTATTATTATTATATTGATGATGCTAATTACTTAGATCACCTGGGGTAGTGCAGAAAACGAGCTGGGAGAGCAAAGCGGATCAGTAGCTTGACAACTTGATGATCCTGAGGTCAATGCGAAATGAACACACGTGAACTAAGCCGGGGTTTGATCCGACGGAAACCCCTCCGACGCTCAAGTCAGATGTACGGATCGTGGAGATGTAGAAAGAATAAAACTCTAGGTTGTTGTTGAAATATAGAACGTACATTCACAAATGAGTAAAAACATCTATTTATATGTCGTTGATTGGGTTGGGCTTACTTTGTTGGGCCCAAGCCTTACTTTGAAGGTTTTAAATGGTTTTAAATTGTTTATATGGTTTTAAAAATTAAGTATATATACATTTATTAATAGTGGAGAATTAATGACAAGATGTTATATTTATAATTGAATTTTATTGTAAATAATTTTTTTACATATTATTTATTTATATAACTATATTAAACATTATACCTTGTGTATTTAGTTTGTATAAATTTATTTTCAGCCAATTTGCAGAATATAATGTTGCCCCAGCGGTTTGAAGTGGCTCTAACTTCAATTCAACCAGGGTTCAATTCCTTCCATTGTCATATTTTCATATATTTAACATTTAACAGTCCGTTGGGACGGTCGTGAGTTCGACCCAACTTTTCATATTCCGAAGTGGCCAGTGGTCCAATGGATGCGGGTCCGGCTTGGCTCTGTGGTCCAATGGATGTGGGTCGGGTTGACGGATGTGGGTCTGGCTTCGATAAAATTCCGGACCATATGTTTTGCAATGAAATAAATTCGTTGGCAACGAAAATAAATTCGTTGTGTATACTATGTTATTATCGGGTCTCCGTATCTGGTAGATAGACGCGGATGAAGAGGCATGCTCTTGATTCATACGTGCTGACCGAGCAAGGTTGCGTCTCGCATTTTGTGAATCCCCACCCGCCGGTCCTCGGGAGATAAAGGCAATGACTCCCCGGGTGGGTTGATTATCATTGTTATCTTGTTCTCGCCGATGACCTCCCTCCTCTCTTTGTGTGGTTGATCTCGATTGTTATCTCGGCGTGGGAGGTCCTCACGGCGCTTGTTTCGAGTCTTATCGATGTACTCGCCTAAGTGGCCCTGCTTGATCAATCTTTCAATGGCTACTTTGAGTTGTGCACGGTCCTTGGCAGTATGTCCCCTATCCTTATGGAATCGATAGTAGCGATCCGACTTTTCTCGTTTCGCATTTGGCTGCATAGGACGTGGAGGTTCTGCTAAACCTCTTTGTTCTATCACATGAAGGATTTCAGTGAGGCGAGTGTTTAGCAGGAGTGAACCGATTGTATGAGGGAGACGATTGGCCTTGAGATGGGGGTGGTGGACGTCTATCATCTCGTCTTCTAACGTCCTGTCGACCATCTTCCCTCTTCCTCTTGGGAGGAGCATGGGTAGAAGCTTCCTCTATTCGCACGTATTTCTCAGCTCGGTTCAGCAACTCCTCTAGGTTGCCTGGAGGCCTTCCGGCGATAGATTCTTTGAATCTACCCGGCTTCAAGTTTTGTTTCATAATCCCAGAGAGCATATCTTGCCCTACACTGGGGACTTCATGGACGGCTTCTACAAAACGCTTGATGTAGTTGCGGAGCGTTTCGTTATCTCTCTGTACTACAGAGAAAAGGCTGGCTGGGGTCTTGGCATACTGCTTGTTGATGGCGAATTGGTTGGTGAACCGTGTTGACAGCCGAGCCAAGGTGCCAATCGATCCAGTGGGTAGAGAGTTGAACCAATTCATAGCTCTCCTGGAGAGAGTGGTGCGGAACATTTTGCACATCGCAGTGTCCGTCTGGCCATACAAATCTGCCATGGCGTTGAATTTCTCTATATGCTCTTGTGGATCGGTGGTCCCTTCAAATTGAGGTAACCCCGAGATCTTCACTCCTTGAGGTAATACCTCGTTGAGGATGTCTATGGTGAAAGGGCTGCGTCTTACTGGGACGGGCATTCTTTTACCCATTGGATTGTTCGGTTGGGGGAAAGGATTTGGCGAGACATTCTGCTGTTTACCTCGCCTTCTCCTTCATTAAAGAGAGGGACTCTCTGTGGAGACGCATTCCCCCGTGGGGGTGAGCGCTGACGTTGCTGTCTAGGCTGTGCCCCCCTGTGATTGGTGGATAGCTGCACTCGGGACCGTGGGTCCGAGGTGGAGGAGGACACACTTATTTGGTTCTGGACTGGCGGTGGTGCCATAGGTTGCACCACAGGTGGAGCTGGCGCTGGTATTGCATTAGGAGCGTTTGCTGTGGTCTTTCGTATTTATTATTGTAATAAACGAACATTTATTCGTATTAATGATAAAACACATTGGCATTCTATATCTTTGTCCCTTTATCACAAGCATAGATATAGTCCTTACAGTTATTACAAGTGCTAGTAATTGATCGTTAGGATCGTGAGATATTTACTTAAGTATTATAACTGTTAAACGTGTTCCTAGTCGAAGGGTTACGCCACAAATGAGGATATCGGTCATTCCCATTAAGAGACTAGCACTTAGTGTATGTGTACTGCATCTCATCAGTAAACGATATTGTGATATCGGCATGCATAAGTGGGTGCTCGTAAGTTGACGACTTCACTGAACTTCTTCACCCTAGAAATCTCTAAGTGGTTCCCAATAATCGAGTAGAGATATCTATGGTATAGTTGTACACCATTAGTCCTTATGACCTAGACATCACCGTGGTCATTAGAGGACCAGCTGTATCGTGACATGTCCCTGAGTTCCACCGAGGACCATCCCAAGGGCCAGTGTTCGTGCAGTCCGAAATCTAGTGGGAGGTCTGTGCATTGTAGTCGGGGATTGGATCGCTAGAATAGTCTTGGATGTCCTGTGTGTTCTGATAGTTTGTAATCATTCTAAGTCTCTCGCTAGAGCTGACTAGGTGATGATTAGAGAATTCGATTCTCTAAGTCACGCACATAACGATTACAACACTTAGAACGATCGCACCGTCATTGAACAAATAAAGAGGTCTCGATGAACCAATGCCTCTAGTTCAATCGGGACATATGTATCGAAGGGACCGTACTGTACGTTAACTATATCTGAAGGTTCTTGCAGGCACTTCATTTGTATCTAGGGAATCATTACGCGTAGTTGCTAGACGCCAATCTTGATTCGTTGGGTGATTAAGGTGAAACGAGCTTCATCTTAATCATAACTCTAAGGGACGAGTTTTGACCACAAAGGGTTGTGGGCCCACGGCTAGCTTATACCTGAACCATCGAGGGTCACACTGCTCGTGCACATGAGATCTTTGAATAAACGGTCAGAGATAAAATGGTTTATCTTTGCATGATTGGAAGTCAATATGATTGGGTCCAACATTCGTAATTTGGAATTATGAATGAGAATAAGAAAAGGAAAAGAATAGGCAAACGTATTAGTGAACTTTCTAAATCGGGAAGTTTCCAAATTTAGAAAGTGCACTGAATTAGGGTTTCCACTTTTGGAAAGTTGGAAATCGAGCGTTGGCACTCGTAATGACGAGGACATTACAATGATTCCGAAAATGTAATCGTTACAATTTTCCGATCATTGAATTGAGATAGACGAACAAGTAAAAGAACTAACGAACTTAAGCTGTTGGGCCCGGTCCAACTTAAGCCAGCTAGGGTTTTATGCAAGACACTATAAATACTTGATTTATAGGTCTTGCATAGACACACCCTAACCCTAGCCGCTCTCTCTCTCTCTCTCTCTCTCTCTCTCGCTCGGCCGTCTCCACTCGGCCACCGCGCCGTCGCCGGAAATTGCCGAAATCGGCCATCCGTTGGCCGATCCCTTTCGGTATTCCTTTCCTTTTTTTTTTCTTCCATTTTTCTAACTATTACGTGTCTAGTGCCACGTGTTTAGTAGATCGAAGTATACGAGGTGAAATCCGAGAGGAGGAAGATCGAAGATCGAAGAATCGAGGAGCAGCGCACGAGCCGAAGCCGCACGCAACCCCACGCGCCGCCCGAAGACCGCGCGTGAGTCACACGCGCCGCCACGACTCGCATTGCGTTGCTGCTGTTCCGCCGCTGCTGCCCCCTTTCGGATTGTATGGATTGGTTTCCGTAGCAATCCTGTTTTGCTTAGTCCGCCTACCTCACGCTTCAAGAGGTAAACTCACGAATTCATTGTTCCTTGATTCGTTTACGTTTAAATAGAATGTTTATGTTCGTTCTTGTATGATTTTATGTGAATACATGGAATTGTTTATTTATCGCGAGCATGGACATTTGATTTAAATGCGAGCATGCTAATTGATTTAAATTTAGTTAAATTATTAAGCATGAATGTTGTTTTTAAATTTAGCTGGAAGCGCAAAGGTACGCAATAAATTGTTTCAATTATCGGGCATGTGTTTATGTGTGTTTAAAGTTGTTTAAATCGCATAAAATATTTGTTTTCTGCTGCGTACACGTGTCCAATACCCAACATGGGGGATCGGCGAGTGGTGGGTCCCGAGGGGGGATCACCTGAACCTCGTTTGGCGGATCCGCGGCACGTGGAGGAGGTGGCAAGCCAGATCCTCCACGGACTGGGAGGCTATTAGCTGTGTTATTTTCTCTCCGAGCAGACACCTCAGAAGGATCTTGTTGGCTACGCGATCTGGTTTGCATCGTTCCCACAGACGGCGCCAAAATGATGATGCTAATTAGTAATTACTTAGATCACCTGGGGTAGTGCAGAAAACGAGCTGGGAGAGCAAAGCGGATCAGTAGCTTGACAACTTGATGATCGTGAGGTCCCTGCGAAATGAAGACACGTGAACTAAGCCGGGGGTTGATCCGGCGGAAATCCCTCCGATGCTCAGGTCATATGTACGTATCGTGGAGATGTATAGAGAATAAAACTCTAGATTGTTGTAGAAATATAGAACGTACCTTCACAAATGAGTAAAAACATCTATTTATATGTCGTTGATTGGGTTGAGCTTACTTTGTTGAGCCCAAGCCTTACTTTGAAGGTGCTTGGGCTTTCGTGTAATGGGCCTAATTGTAGGTGATTGGGCTTTTGTGTATTAGGCCCAATTATTAGATAAATTGGGGCCCATTGGATCGGCCCAATTAAGTATATCATATATATATATATATATATATATATATATATATATATATATATATATATATATAATAAAATAAAATATGATAAGAAAAATCGTATTTATTTATATTAACTAGCAGTAACTCATGCATTTTTTGTTAAGTCAATTGTTTATATGGTTTTAAAAAGTAAGTATATATACATTTATTAATAGTGGAGAATTAATGACAAGATGTTATATTTATAATTTAATTTTATTGTAAATTATTTTTTTTACATATTATTTATTTATATAACTATATTAAACATTATACCTTGTCTATTTTGTTTGTGTAAATTTATTTTCAGCCAATTTGCAGAATATAATGTTGCCCAGTGGTTTGAAGTGGCTCTAACTTCAAATCAACCAGGGTTCAATTCCTTCCATTGTCATATTTTCATATATTTAACATTTAACAGCCCGTTGGGCCGGCCGTGAGTTCGACCCAACTATTCATATTCGGAAGTGGCCAGTGGTCCAATGGATGCGGGTCCGGCTTGGCTCTGTGGTCCAATGGATGTGGGTCGGGTTGACGGATGTGGGTCTGGCTTCGATAACAATCCGGACCATATCGTTGTGTATACATAATACATTGGCAACGATATATAATTACCAACATTGTGCATTCTAAATGTATAGGCAACGACAAATATTTGCCAACGACATGAATTCGTTGCGCAAACTAAATGTATTGGCAACAACTTTTAATTTGTTGCCCCAAACTTTCCGTAACAAATAAAAGACAACGAAGCTAGCAATGACTTATTTTCGTTGCGAATAAAATTAGCAACGAAATTATATACTTTCCCCAACGGAAATAATTGTAGCCAAAGGCGAACTTTCTTGTACATATTCAATCAAACCCAATAAATTCTTTTTCAAATCATCCATTATATTACCTAAATTTATCTTCGTGGACATAAATGTATTACAGTTGTCTTTATCATAGGGTAAAATTTATTTTGCACCTCTATACTATTGAAATGTATCATTTACCCCCGAAGTATCGAAAGCATCAAACGCCCCCCCTATTTTTACGGTCAATGGTCCAGCTTTTAACGTTGTTAAATTTGAGCGTGAAATGACTCTTTCACTCTGCTTTATGTATGATATAATCTCTAATTTTTTAAGATTTATTTTTATGGATTTTTGACGATTTTTAGCATTTATTTAAATTAGGGTTTTTTTGGTCGATTTTAGTGTTTGATTTTCGGGGTTTTCTATTTTATTTTTTGGGGGGTTTTGCCATTATAATATGACAGCTTCGTTTTTAATTTGCAATTCTTTCGTAAGATTTTATTTAAATTTTAGGGTTTTATTTAGATTTCAGAGTTTTTCAGTTTTTTTTTTTCATGATTTGCAAAGTTTCTTTCTTATTGATTCGACTTCAATTTTTGTATGCATAAACAAAAGAGAAAAAAAAACTGAAAAAAGAAAAAAAAAATGACTGAATAAAGTGGAAAAAAAAGGATTGAAAAGAGCGAAAAATGGTCAAAACTAAGCAACATATATATAAAGATTTTTGGAGGTATTTTCGTTAAAGAAAAGCCAACAACTCTTTGCAACATCCGCTCAAAAGGTTTGACTAATGGAATTAGGAAAGCAAACTAACGGCAGGGAGGTGTTTGATGTTTTCTATACATCATGGGGTAAATAATACATTTTGCATAGTACAGGGTGCAAAATAAATTTTACCCTTTATTATATGCATTAAATTTCCATTATAGAAAAATGGTGAAAAATAAAAATGGAAATAAACTAGTCCCACTTCCAACTTTAATCAATCTTCAAGAATACCCTGTGGGAAATTAAAGAAAATTAACAAAAAGTAATAATAGGGAAAGTTAGCAGACCCCTATCTAGGAAATGT